AACACCACCACGCATTTGACCACCTCAAAGAAGAAAACATGGGCTACTTAGGATTGCTGCCGTTGCATATAGACCAGGCAATGAAGGAAAATCTAATGTTTGTAAGGGCTCTATCTCAGAATACAAGCCCGGAGAACGTGCTGGTATAACTAATTTCACATTTCTTCTGTAAGGTAACATCTTGGGTGAAAATCAGTCCTATTGCATAGTGGAATAGCTGTCCTTATCTAGGCCAAATACTGGTTTTCCATCATCTCTATACTAATACCACTGGTGCTCCACTTATTCTCCTTGGGATGAGTTTTTAGAGCTCTGAGTAATGTAATGCAACATTGCACAACACAGTGTCCCAGTGGCATGCTGTAACTACGCAAACATCTGCTGAACTGAACCCACTCAGGGCCAAATTGGATAGCACAACTGATTAGCTAGAGCCTTTGGGAATATGCTCACGATTTATGTTTGTCTGAGTCACCAGCCCATGTGCAAATCACATTTTTCATTTTTCTTCCTTTTTTTTTAAGGTGGAGCAAAAGCATTGTTTGGAAAAGAATTGTCACAGGCGTTTCTTTTCCCCTTCCAACTCCCCAATACTGTTTTCCTCACCAGCTCATTACCAAAACCTATCCAGCTCTGAAAAACCCACAAACTCTGTGCTTTTGGGGGAAAAAATGTGCTAACCAAAAATAAGCATTAAAGAAAAGGAACAGAAAACCCTCAGAAATTGCCGCAAAGACTTGAGAAGCAGATCAATGGAAGAAAAGGAAACAACCTGCCATAAACTGTACAATGGCCAAAGAACCCGACAATCTTGGGAATTGGGTTTGTCACTTAAAATACTCAGTTATTTAGGTTTTGATTTCTCTTCTGTTTTGTGTTGCAAACCAATAAATCACCAATAACCTTTAATGTGAATTTGGCTGGGTGCAAAGAAAACTAGCAAAAATAATTCTGTGTAGTCAGATAAGAGAAAAAGTTTTTACTATTATTGAAACTCCAAACATATTCTAAAACATCTCTCCCAACTTCCTGAAATCATAGACAGCTGGACAATGTTAAAAATTCATGTAATTCAAATTCAAATAGCTTTTCTTTAAAGCTAAAAAGGTGGGCTTTTTTGCTAAAATTCTAACTACTTTCCAATTCTCTGATCTGGCTTCTCAATGAGATGTAATCTACTTTATAATCTCTCTTTGATGAGAGACAATGACAATTTGCAATGCAAAAAATTTCAAAGGCAACTGGGAGATTTTCCAGGAAATATTTAGTTATGATTTCTTAGGGCATACCAATATTAACAGCACATCCCAATCTTTTTTCATATGCACCAATCATAAACTGGACTGACCCCACAGAAATCAATAGTCAGGCCAGTACAAAAGGCTTATAAGGAGAACTAGACTGATTTTTAACCTGTCTCTTCTTTTCTAACTACTGATTTAATAATATGTAAAAACGATAGGAAAGTGTCCTCTCTGACAAGGGACGTTAAGACAGGTGAAACAGATTCCAGCAACAATGACAATGGCTTTTCAACAAAATCTACTGAACATACTAGCACTTGTTAAAGAAGTAGAAGATAAGTTGCTCCTAATTAAAAGAAAACTTTGTAGACGTACTTAGAACTCCTCAACAACTTTGTGTCATTAACACTCATTCAGTGGTTACTTGCATATGTCCTGCTTTGCTGAAGGCACCTCATTAGAAAGTCTGTTCAATGGCAGTTCTGATTATCCCAGTTAGGTATGGGTTAGGCTGAATCACTTGATGGAGATTCCCAACCTTCTCCCTTGACTTCATAGCAAAGGTGGGTTGTCAAAGCAGGCAGTATGAATGCCCTCCCCAGAGCGTGTCAATTTTTCCTTTTCCTATTGCTTTTCAAGAAACACTAACGTAGAGGCAACAACTACATAAGAAGCCAGTCTCCAACCTTGCCATTCAGAATTTACCTAGTTATAGTACAAAACTAACTAAGATTTCAGCCTTCACCACTACTACTGGAAGTGCATAATGAATTACTAGGATGGAACTATCCTACAGATATTAGAAAAATGATTTTGTATTACTGGGAAGTGTCAGGTTTACAAACATTTCCTTAAACACTCAGAGGCCTCAGGAGGCTCTCCATAGAATAAAAGGATCCAAAAGTAATTTTTGCTTTGCTGTAGCATGCACAGCACCCACAAACATTGCAGACACACGATCCTCCACCCATCAAACCCAAGTGCCTGGCATGAGCACGGTTCTTAAAGGAGATTCAAAGTCTGACAAGTATTAGTTGCCATTATGTGCATGCTACGTAACGTGGCCTAAACACAAAAAGATTCCATTAATACTTGGATTTAAACTACAAATATAAACGATTTAATCCATATTTCAGTGTTCATTCATTTCTGAATAAAACCTGCTTCCATCTGTGTTTCTGCTTTCTGTAGTAGATGTGCTTGGACAGCGACTCTAATGTTAGTCCTTTTTAACTTACCTGCTTGCCTATGTTTCCTTTGGTGTGCTGCAGTATGTGATGTTTTGTAGTCCAAAGTACAACATATATTGATCAATAATTTTCACAGGGAAAAGCTTTATTATTATCTATTAAACTAAAAACCATTATTGTTTTATTTGAGACCAATGCCCCTTATTTTGATGTTCTAGGTTAAGACTGAACACAAAAACTAACAGTTTTTTCTAGTTAAAAGCTTTGGGGAAAAAGTCAATTCAAGTGCATATTCTTTTGCACTTTGATAATACAATAATTACTTTTATCAGAAACACATGCTAATTGGATCATTCTGGAGCATTTTTCTCATTGTCTGGTACCGCAAAACACATCTGGGTTTTATTTGCCCCATGTAAGTTAATAAGGCTACGGACTTTTTTAAAACAATAAGCAAGATAATCTTAAAAACAATTTTCCAAAGTGAAAAAGGAGGAAAAAACCCTTCCATGTTTTATTCAAGACTGTGTAAGTGTAAAAATGACTTTAAGGTAGAAACTGAAGGACGTTTTCTATCTACTCAGCTATTAGTGAAGAAAGAAAAAGAAAGTTAAAGAAATTTATTACTATGACTATACATAAGAAACAGTGCAGTTAAATATCTCATATTAATGGAACCTAATAAGGGATGTCTCCGCCACATACACAGATCCAAATTAGTATGATTTAAAGTACCAATACATTGGCACTAGAAGATGTCAAGCTTCTCCTTGTTACTAAATCCCTAACTCGAGAGAACTGGAAACTTTCAAGCTCTTTGCTGGAGCATAGGGGATGTTGACACCTTCCAGATTTCATTTTACTGGACCAACCCACAGACAGTATGGTGCAGGGGAACAGCAGATGGCTTTTCTTCTGTTACCTCTGCTTCCTAAAGATGAAGCTGAACATTGTTCTTAAATTGTGCATATTCAGCTCCCGCTATAAGGAGAACAAGCCTAATTTATATATGTTAAAGCTTTCCATACCATATTATATTTGTCCCATTCCAGAGAATGTCTGTATATGTTCATATGATTTGAGTTTTAGGTGCCCAAAGAAAAGCAATTTGCTCTGAACTATGGAAAGACATTCAACTTTTAGTCTTAATGCAAACATACGTTGAGCCATTTGATATTATTTTTCCCTTCCTCTTAAAAACAGATAGGACACAAACCAGGGGAAGTACTGAAAAAAGGAAACCATTTTTTTTTCCTGTTTCACAACTTACCGTACACTGATTTGGGCTTTGGTATAATTAGAAAAACTACCCCAAAACGTTTTTCAACTGATAATGCTCTTTTCAGACCTTACCATTGGCAGAAGTACGAACATTCAGTTTGTGCAGAAGTCCAATGTAAATCCAGCAGGACACGGCATTTCTCCAGGTATTAAGCAATTTTTGTGCTTGCATTTTACACTTTACAAGTGAGGTCACATGTACACAGTTTAATCCCATAACTTTCTTATAGGATCACAGACCTCTATGAAAAAAGACTAAATTTCACCATGTACTAATGGAAGAAAATTACTCTCTGGGAATCTGACAAGAGAGCAACAAAGTTTTTCCATCATGTAATCAAATACTATATAGTTTTCTTCTCCCCAGAGTTTGATGAAAAGATAGAAGCAGACTTTGATTATACCATTAACTATATAGAGCAACGCTATAGAAAAAGTCTCACTGCATTTTACCCACCTGTTTTTGGACATACATAATGCCCTATTTCTCCTACAGATATTATAAAGGCAGAAAAGACATGCTTGGAGAATGTAGCGTAAGTTACAATTGAAGCAGGGTATGAGCAATTTGAATACAAATCTTGGAGCAAAATAAACAGTGCATTGGATTGACCAGAAAACGTTTTTTACTCCCAAACTTATCTGTGCAAGTAAAAGGTATATTGATAAATGTGGGAATAAACAGAAAGGTATCAATATAGATTGCTAAATCAATAAAGGGGCATGCAAATAAATAATAAAAAAACCCTGATCAATTATCAAACCAGCTGGGGCCTGATCCTCTTCTCATGACATAAAATGTAAATCTAGCATAAATACAAATACAGCTGTGTTTCCCAAAATCATCTGTGAGACATGGGGCTTTTAACCAACAGGTAGAAATCAGTGTCAAGTTCTCTGGACCGTGGCACACAGGAGATGAGACAAGACTGCCGTAATGGGCTCTTTAAAGTCTATGAATCAATGAGAATTGGTACAAGGGGAAATCAAGATCCTACCATCTCAGATGAGAGAGCTGGTAAGACCATGGTTCATTTTATTTGCTATAATTGTGTAAATTAAATACTGTTGGAATTTATGTAGTAATTAATATGACACCTGATTAGTTCAGGAAAACATTGACCACTATGTCTGAAACATTACTTACAATGCATTCGTGGAGGAAGGAATAGAAAAAGATAAGTTAACCTATTGGGCAGAGTGAGATTGGTTATTTATGCTTGTTTCCATATAATAAGGCACTTTCGTTTCAGGAGTAATGCTATGCTGTTCAGAGGCACATGTGTTAAAGTTGAGATACACTTACAAAGTAGCCTGTTCCCAAGCTGGAAGGAGCTGAGCTCTGCAATAAAACACAAAGACAAAGTGGAAAGTCAGTGATGGTTTTTAACACGTTCCAATCCACACAGCTCATTACCAGCCCTTTCCAAGCTTTTCATCACTACATCACAGCACCAATGTGCTGCCCCTTGTCATCTGCTACTGAAACAAACACGGTGTTGCTTAATTTTTCCCTTTACATCTCTCAACGACTCTGAGATGGTAACGTGCTATTTACTGAATTCCAAGCTTCTGCGGTGGACGTAATTGCCAATTTATTTGACAGGCAGCTGGGTAATGAATTAATGATGGCATTTCGCCCTGCACTGAGACTAAACAGACACTCATCAACCAGCCTCCCTGACATGCTGACATTCAATGCCCTGGACTCCAGCTACTCAGCTTTGTGGCCACAAAGGGGCAGGCGGGAGGGGGAGAAGGAAGAAAACGTAGACTGACTTCAAAACAAAAAGCCCGGTGGGTTTGGATGACTTTTTCAGTGTATGACCTGTTTGCCAATTTATTCCCGAAAGGCCCTGGTTAGTACACACATAGTGCTTTTCTAAAATGAGACATTTTGTAAACATAATTAGTAGTCTGAAATGTAAAGAACGCGTGGGCACAGAGAAGCCGCTTCAGTCAGTGTACCATTTTCTGGAGAATGCGGTCACTACAATTTCCCTTTTGGATGGGCATGCTGTTTGCCAAACCAAGGATTTAAAAAGAAAAGAAAAAACAAACAACAAATATCTACAGTGTGAAACAGATTCAAAATTGAAACCCATAAAAAGAATTAAAACTAGTATTACTACCGTGGAAAATAATCAAAAGGTTTAAACGCTTAAAAAAGTGCATCATGAAATTCAGTTTAAGTGGGACACGATCATAACCTCTACATTCACAGGAATTAAGGAGATAAAGGGTTTTGTTTTATTAGTTTTTCATCTAAGCAATGGGGATTACACAGCAGGTTCTGTTAGAGACATGGTGAGAGACCTAAACATCTCGGCCCTAATCCAGGTCACTGGCTGTTACATTAAAGGGTGAATAGTTCCCAACGCTACGGCCCTATCACCTGCAACACTTCAAGCCGGGCTAGTCAATGGACATGGAAGCAAAACGCAGAGGATAATTTTCTAGTGAGCAGTAGGTAGTCCAGATGACCAGTCTTTAATTCCCGTAGCTCAATTCCTGTTTCTGTTCCTTAGCACAACCTCACTTCAAGTAATGACACAGCTCAGTGTCCACCAGGAACTGCACAGGGGCCCCAACCAGCCTGGGCAAACCACTGGAAACACACAGGATTTGCATCACTGTCATCCCTACTCTGAGACACTATTGCGGGGAACCCTAAGAGCACATTTTCTTGATTTCTGATCATGGAGTGCAGCACTGACATAAAAGAAAATAAACCCCCACAAGGGGCTGATGGCATCCTTTTACTGAACTTGGCACGGCAGAAATAGATGGTGCCAAGAAACTGAAAATTAACAGCAACAAAATTCATTGCAAATAATCAGAACATTACTGTGCGTTCACCAAAGCACTACTAAAAAGAGAGGTTTAGAGAGGTTATGTACATATAGGGAAAGGCCTTCCCATTTAAGACATTAGAAGTTAAAGACTTTGCAAGGGGAAATCACCTTGGTAGTCATAAGGGTACCAATATCATAAAATCAACAAACTCTGTTGGGACACCTTATAAGAACAAACAAAACAGCTACAGAAATTTGGAAGGTAAGTGGTTCCTGCCCCTTAATACTTTCTAGATGTTGCGGCTACTGTAACGCTTGAGATCTGCAGTCTATGGATTTGGCTATCAGCGTGCAAGGGGAGGCCTACAGAAATAAGTAAATGCCTAAGCCCTTCTGGCCCCACTCTTGCTGCTCTGGGGCCTCAAGCTCCCTCTGCTACCATCATCCACAGCAAGACCCACCTGGTCCCAGTGACAATGTCGCTGAAAGCGCCTCTGCGGCATCATCACACTGTGGTGCAGACGAATGGGCAGTGCAGGTTTGGGAACACATGGCCATGGGCTCATCCCGACTGCTCTGCCTTCCTCTATGTCCCCATGACCATGCAGCTGGGAATAACCTGGGAACTGACACAGCCCCAGTCAGCCCATGGGCCGGCTGCTGTGTCCAGCTAGAAAGTCCCCTCCATGGGCCACGTACCATGGGTTTGGGTGCGTGCAGCTCTGCAACATCTGGTAAAAAGCCCATTTCTCCACTCTCCAGTTTAGTATCTAATGCATCTACTTTCCTGGTAAAGTACATCATATATACTGCCTTTCACTATACTCATTCTCCTTTGTGCTTCATGCCATTTAAATTCTTTTAATTTGAGCTGGAGATCTACCCACAAAGTACAACACGTGCAATCATTATAACCGCTTTTGTTGAAGCTATGTACAGATGCCAATCGAGTCCCACTCTTTCACTCACAATTTTTAAAACTTACTTTACAGGCTGAAAGCTCCAAAGTTTGCATTCTGCATCTGTGTGTAATTTTTGTCTCCTTTTTATTCCAAGTTTTGGAAGGATCAAGTATCAAAACAAAACAATAAAAAGGAAGAAAAAAGAATAAGCAAACAAAATATTTCCCACTGAATATTTCCATTCCTTCAAAAGCAATGCTGCAATGGCTATGGGAGGACAGTCGAAACATAGCAATCAAATGACTTTCACTGAAAAGAAACAACTGTGCATTTTCAGGGGATTTGAGTTTGCCGGATGGAAATATAGCCCCTCACACATTGCATGCTGCATATGGATAGTACAGTTTGCAAACTCTTTTTAATTGAAGTAAGAAAGACTGTATTGCACATGCATGAATGACTAAGTCAGCTGTGTTGTGAACTGTGTGTTGACAGAGCATATAGGCTGAAGCAAGGGCTATGGAAGAAGACAGCTTCTCACCTTTTTTGATAACTCCCAATAGCGAAAGGATCCTACTACCCAGTGCCCAGCCTTGGTACCAACTGATGAATGTGATACTGTGTATGCAGCATCTTTACAAGCCCATGCTGAGTCGTGATCCTGCACTGGATGGTTCTACATCTCTTATATAAAGTGTGCCTATAATAGAGGTAATGGTTTCACTTTCCGAAACCCTTTGCAATATTTGACATTAGATATACTATTTGATATTCCCACAACCACCAGCAGTAGCCTGCACCAGGTGCCCATCAGCAAAATGCAAGTCACTTGCTTAAACTTAACAGGGTTTTTGGTAAATGTAGTCATCCTCGTGTAAGCATTAGTTTATTGTGTACCAAAGAAAATTACATCCTTGAGGTCTTGGAAGGCACAGTTATACCCATTTTGCATATATATTGTGCATTACTTGGGGAGCTGGGTGGGGAGAAAGACTGTGTTGTACATATTTGTTCTGGCTATTGTTTATGCAGGTCTGACTGAATGAAGGAACAGTGGGTATCATTTCAATTTCTGATGTCAACATCAAATTACTTATTTAATTTCATGCCTGGCGAAGCATTGTATAGCTACACGCAGAATCATTTCACTTCATTTGTTATGCTGTGTTTTCTTGGCGATTGGCTTGCCTTCCAACTGACAGCTTTAATTACGACATGAATTTGATTGCACTGCCGAGGAATTAACATAATGCAACAAAGCATTTAAGCACCCAACCTTAGACACACAAACACACACATACACACCCTCACATACACACACACACACAAAGAAGCAGCCACTGCAGCTGATCAGCTTCTGGCACACACACGCATACAGAGCTCTTTGCTGGTGTTACTCCACTTTGGATACAGCCAAGATTACTGGGGATATTCTGGAGAAGTACTAAGGATTTCAGACCGTATAACCCAAAGACCATTCCTCAATTTGTCTCTCTTTGGGCTCAGTACACAGGTGGGAGGAATGGGAGACAGAGAATTGAAAATATCCCATATTGGCGGCTGAAACTGTGAGCTGTCCACAGTATGACATTGCTGGGGCTGTAGACACCTTTCTTCCCCAGCAGACAGCAACAGACCTGGTGGGCAAGGCCCTCCAGGACTTACTCCTCAGCAATACCTCACTGTAATCTATTCTTAAGCACAAAGTGCGCAATGCAGTAGGAGCACACAGCTACAAAGCACTGGGGAAAGGGAAGTGCTCATGAAAGAGTGTGTCAGCTTTGATGAGAGCCCAAGATGAGACCTTTAATGTAGGGGACAAAGGGAAAGATTCCTGTCCCACTCCCTATTCTAGAACTGGAACAATATTCTGGACAGAAAGGTGCCAACTATTTCTCCCAGCTTGTGACTCCTTGTTCAGAAAAGGCAAGCAGAGGCCAGGCAGTCCGCACTTCTGTTGTGCGGGAAGAGTTGGAAGACCTCTGCTGTCTCCCAGCCGATGATCACAAAGCCACAGTGAGAGGCTTTTGCTGTTCATCCCCTTGCTGCAAGCCTGCAACCAGCACCAGAAGCAGCAGGCAGGGCTGAGGGTGCCCAAAGCAGCTTGTCGGCCCTCTCCCATCAGTGTGGGCTTGCACTGCCACTGCATCGTCATTACCAAAACCACAAGCAAGGGTCATTTCACAGACATCAGATTTTAACAAGACTAGACAGCCGAGTGTGAGCTTCAGTTCTGTGGTAGATCAAGAATTTAGGAATGCGCACCAAAGAAATCAGGTTTTTTTGATTTGTTTTTGATTAGTAAAAAGGTGGCTGAACCTCTGAATAATATGAGCGTTTACCATCCAGGTTAGCTGTGATTCTTATGTTTTCCTCAAGTAATCTCCTGGCTGCTTTGTAAAACGTGGCTTAAAAGTGCCCCATGCATTGCAAAGAGGGAAGACTCAATTAAAAGTGAATACATACAGAAAGATAAGGAAAACAAGCTGACTGAGCTCCAAGCTGAGGAAAAGAGAAAGCACTGCCATCTTGTCTCCAAGCAAAATCTCAACAAAATGAATTCTACTACTGGCAAGATTTTGATGAGATTAAACTGACTACAGCACCCTATATATAAAGGAGAAGCAGCTCTCCAATCTCTCTTTTAGGCCCCTGGAGCTACCTCTGCCCATAAAGGAAGAAACAAGTTGTCATTCCAAAAAATACTATATAGGGGAGAAAGGCAGAGAGAAATGGGTTTATGAAATTCAAACGGGGAGATGTATCAGGGCACTGTCAAATGTTTCCAATGGAGCATTGGAGCAACCATTATCCCTAATCTAGCAGAGGTCAAGTTCTCTGCTAATTATGTTCTCTCGCAGAGGGGTGTGTGCGTGTGTGTAAATGCGTGCGAGATGAGGACAAAGAAAAGAGTTGATGGAAATCAGTCTCACTGCATCGCATCTGACAAGAACATAGGATATTCCTTTTCCTACTGTCTGATGCTATTTCAAGCCTCATTATGAGAAAAGTCTCCTGTTTAACATGGGTCTTTTCATTGAATTATCTTCTTTTCATTTTTGACCACCTCTCTCGCAAATGCTGCAAATTACCTGCTTGGATCTCATTAGCCTGGAAAGGAGCCATCCCTTGTAAACACACTTTGCATCAGTCTATGTTATCCAAGGATTGTAGGTACATTTACAATATGCAGAGTTGAAAGATAATCTGACAGGAGAGGGAATGAAGCCACTGACATGTCAGTTTGCAACTGGATATTCATTATACTATCTCCCTCATTCTGCATCTGTCACTAAGCTATCACTTAGGCTCCGTATTAAAGCTCATGAAGCTAACATTTCTGTTTCAACAGCTTACTTACAACTAGGGATTTGAAAATTGATCATCTACCTAGAGTATATGCACTTCTTTCATTATACATATTTCCATGCAGTAGCCATGCTTAATCTTACAATACTGTCGAGCTACACCGGTGGAGATCCATTATATTTCATGTCCAAAATTTGCTTTCTGACTTCAGGGTTAATCTGCCTGCGATATTTTATATTTTTATTCTATCTTCTGTTGACTATACAACTTTTTGCTTATTTTTTCTGAGAAAACAGTTGTAAAACCAGAAAAGGATCTTCAGAGAAAACTTACTCTTTAGTCTGTAGTTTTTTTCTGGGCAGTAACTGGTGGATATCATTAGAAAACTCACTCCTTTAAAGATATTATTTAAAATAACGTTATTAAGCACTCGATGCATCTTTGTGCATAAGAGGACAGTTCAAGGTGTGCTCATCTGTAGCTGGAAGTGGAAGTATCACCACCACTTTGTAAGGCCCTGTCATCTAAAAACATGGGGTGTTTGGGAGAGAGAGAAAATGCAGAAGGGTATTTACTTCTCTTAACTGAAATAGTCTGGGAAAGGCCACCACACAGGCGAGATGAGAGTTCTCTCACGCATGATTTTGAAATCTCAGCTGAACTGGCAACACCAGACCACAAAGAGACATGCTTGTATTGCAATGAATTATCAAAGCATAAAGGAACTTACTTACTAAGCAAAACATAAACTATGTATAACATTTTAAAATATACATTTTCACATATATTTACATAACGTTCCTTTTGAGCAACCTGTGAATCCCTATGACCTCTCTCAGGTGCACTAGGGAAGTTATACTTGCTCCCCACTTCCTATTAGTTCACCATAGTGCCAAGACAAAGACGACACTAAGCTGAGTGGTGCGGTTGACACACCTGAGGGATGGGATGCCATCCAGAAGGACCTGGACAGGCTGGAGAGGTGGGCCTGTGTGGACCTCATGAGGTTCAACAACTCCAAGTGCAGGGCCCTGCACCTGGGTTGGGGCAACCCCCAGTATCAACACAGGCTGGGGATAAAGGGATGGAGAGCAGCTCTGCCGAAAAAGGCTTGAGGATGCTCGTGGATTAAAAGTTGGAGTGAGCTGGCAGCCCAGAAAGCCAACCACATCCTGGGCTGCATCAAAAGAAGCGTGGCCTGCATGGCAAGGGAGGGGATTCTGCCCCTCTGCTGCACTCTGGGGAGACTCCCCTGAAGTGCTGCCTCCAGCTTGGGGGGTTCCAACATAGGAGAGACGTGGACCTGTTGGAGGGGGGGCAGAGGAGGCCACAGAGATGATCAGAAGGCTGGAGCCCCTCTGCTGTGAGGAGAGACTGAGAGAGTTGGGGTTGTTCAGCCTGGAGAAGAGAAGGCTCCGGGGAGACCTTACAGTACCCTTCCAGTACCTAAAGGGGAGCCTACAGGGAAGATGAGGACAAACTTTTTAGAAGGCCTGTTGCAATAGGACAAGGGGTAATGGCTTTAGACTAAAAGAGATAGTATTTAAACTAGATATAAAGAAGAAATATTTCACAATGAGGGTGGTAAAAAACTGGAACAGATTGCCTGGAGGAGTGGTAGATGGAAACATTCAAGGCCAGGTTGGACTGGGCCCTGAGCAACCTGATCTAGTTAAAGATGTCCCTGCTCATTGCAGGGGGGTGGGACTAAATGATCTTTAAAGGTCCCTTCCAACCCAAACTATTCAATGATTCTATAAAGTGAAAGTATTGCAAAAACATCAGAGAAAAGCTGTATTTGATTGGTGGAAGGGGAAGCGGGACTCTGCTCTCACTGCCAGGTCTGGCACTGCAACGATATGAGCTGCTGGGAAGCTCAAATAAGCCTCAGAGCTCTCCACTCAGTACATTGCAAGGGAACGACAAGCCTAAATTAAAACCATGTTTGTAAGGAGCTGTGAAATTTTCTGCTGGAAGGTGCTGTGTAATTGTGAAGTTCATTGCAGTGACTTCTCAGCTGCCACAGGGCTCAGAGCAAGCTAGGATGGCAACAGTGACAGGCTGACGGTCAGCTGCCATCCACCGCTACCTGTACAGAGCATTTACTTACTATCTCCTCTGGTTTCACTCTCCTCCAAAGATATCTTACAGCCCTGAGATTGACCTCACCTGACAGCTATGAAGGGCAGGCTCTGAAGTGTCTAGCTGAACGTACCCGTAAAGGTTGGCTCTGGGGGAGGAATGGACCTCTAAAACAACGTGACAAAGGGATGAGGAAAGAGAGTGCTACAGATTTCACACCTTCACAGAAAAAAAAAAATAAAAATCAGGCAGCTGTTCCAGTGATACATACAATTCAGCAAAAATTACTAGCCGTGTGCCTTCAGGCTTAAGTTTGCACAATGAAATGTATCCTTTGCAAAGGTATTTCTTTTAATGTCTGCTCAATTCAGTTTTATTGGATTGGCCTATAGAGGACACCATCTGGTATCTGTCATCCAAATCTACATGGACATGCTATCAATAAAATCCCCATTTCCAAAATGTGGGTTAGTTAAGAGAAGGGCCAGATTGCTAGCTGATACAAATTGGTCTGACTGATGTAGCTATCCATGCTTTTACCAGCTAAGGATCTGACCTACAAAATCCCCAATTTAGATACTCTTTTAGGACAGGGATGTCTTTATATTCCATGTTGTAAAGCATGTAGCGCACAGGACCCAGAGCCATGAATAAAACACTCAAGGATTGTGATGGTACACATAATAAATAATAATCTAATTGCAGCAACAGAAAGATTTCTGTAGTCATTCATATGTCCGAATAACTCATGTGTGTCATTCAGTGAATGGCCAGCATTCTTCAATGGAGAAAAACATTCTCTGCAGAGCTGCCATCTTAGGACCTTCCACAGCAGTTTAGGTAGAGCAATAAAGGCAGAGCTTATGCTATTGTTGGCCATGTTATATCAATTCATTATATATAAATTAGCTGAGTCTCTCTAGACACTCGTAATACTTTTCAAGAAGATTGTATTTAGCCCAAAGAAATACATTCTTCTCCCTCCCCACTTGGGGTAAAAAGGGGCCATCTCACTTCTCAACTATGCAGAGTATTTTAACTTCATTAAATGGCCTTCAACTATTTCAAAATGAACGAGTGTTTTCACATAGACAGACATTGTACCAAACTTTAAGAAGTTTACTGAACTGGGGCAGGAGACCTAAGTTACCTCTTCACACCCCCTAAAGGGAAGGAGATTTTAGCAACAATCCATCCCAGAAACTAAATCCTGTTATGAATTACACCCCTCAGAAAACTGCACCGGGGTTAATCAGAGCAGTATTTGACTGCTGGAGTTTTACTTACGTCACTGAGTCTTTCCCGAGAGCTACTTCGACGGAACCCTTTCAATTCCCCACTGGCGCTTTCACTGTCGCTGTCTCGGCAACTGTTTTGACCTGGCTTGAGCTGCGGGAAAGAGAGAAAACAAAGAGAGCAAGAGTTTAGCCTGGTTCAGGTAAGTTCCCCTTTAACCCAACCCCACATCTGCACAGCATTTATGTGGTCCTTGCAGCACTGCCACTGGCACGGTGCAGCCTTAGAGCCAAGGCAGCATCACAGCGAGACCACGAATGCAGAGACCCAAGCAAGCTCGTGTGCACAACAGCTCACATGCGGGCCGAGACCCTGCAGGTAGAAGGAGGCAACATTCATGTCCCAAGGAAATCACAGTTTAAGACCTTCATTTTGGGAACTTCTAGACTTCTCAAGTTATTTATGCCACAGATGCAGTTTTTGAAGTTACCATCACATCGAAGCACGTGCAGCATCAATCCCTCCCTCATTACAGCATTAGAATAATGAGGATCCAGAACCAATGGAAATCTTCCCAAGGGAAGGAACAGCCATCACTCCAGGGAGGCTTTTTGCTGGAATAGCCCCCAACAACATTGCCTGATACTAACCTCAAAGACTAACCTCAATGTTCATAAAGCAACACGATCTACTTAATAGGTATCAGATTGTTTTTGCCTTTCAAACCAGCTTTAATGAACTTTACTGGCATTGTAATAAATAAAAAAATATGACAAACTATATTTTCAATATGACTGAGAACACATCTGCTTTCTCTTACGCTGTGGATTGTGCAGGTCAACGTGTTACAACAGCAGCATACTGGAATGAACATTTACCACATACATACATTACACACATGTCCACAAGCACATAAACATATATACAGCAAGAGGAAGATATGAACTGCATCTACTGCAATGCTGAAAATGTTTTAATATATCTTTCCTTTCTTTCCCTATATTTTGCCTGGATGGATTAAAATTTTTTTTAGCCTTATTGATGCTTTGTTTGAACTGACTTTCTGCAAAGACTGGTTACTCCTGAGGTTAATACTGGCAAAAAGTCAATTTCAGAAATGTAGACCTAAAATCACATATGTAAATACTGGCAGCAGAGGTAAATGCAGAGAAAATACTTGGCGAGGTACCTAATGAAGTATTTTATGAGACACCTAGTACACTTATCAGTCTTCACATAACAAATACCAAACAACTCCTCCTAACTTATTCTAATTGTTATTATTACATTCATAGTAATTTCTATTCAGACCGTACAGAAACAATCACACTCATCACCATTACATGACTGGAGACCAAAAGTTCCTTCTCCATTAACTCTGCACCACCTTCTTCCCACCCCTTTCTTCTCTCTCTCCTCATTTTTTTTCCACTTCTCCCAGAAACACGCTGCGTGAGCACACACAAAAATTCACACACATTCTCTTTTACAGGCGCAGGCACACAAGACATACATTTCTGCTCTATTTCCCAGATACACATTCATACCCGTATACACTGCTCACCTCTCCCAGGTTCACTGAAGGAATGCACGAAGCATCCTCACCCTAATGGTTATCATCAGTTTCTCCCTACTAGTACAGGAGCAAACCTCAACTGCAAGTTTGGTATGTGTGTGCTGCTTTCCTTCATCCCTTATTCCTCTGATTAGCAAAAGACAGTTTTGGGTGCTCTCTCTCAGTCAAAAGAAAGAAAGGAGAAAGTACCTAAAACCACAGGCTCAGACACACAATTGAGTTGCAATGCATGAGCACAACTGCAAAAAATGGCACAGGTGTACTCTCAGGTCAAATAAAATGTAACGTAAGATCTACAGCTATTTGTCAAACACTTAAAATTTAATAAATAAACTAAATATTCCACAGCTGAGCCAGAAATTCTCAAGTAAAAAGATTTTTATTTCAAACAGAATGGATTATCAGTCAGATCTAATAGATCTAGCTAGCATTTTTTGGTGGTGGAGGGAAGGATAATGAATTCTAGAAGTCTTATACTTCATATATAACTCTCAGATCTTATCTAGGACCACTGTGTACCGTAAGTTTATGGTCCCAGGTTTAAAATTGAACAACCCAAAGGAAAATGGATCAAGTTTCCCTGACACAGTCTTCTGTCAACATCGGCTCAATGATGGAAAAACTCTTATTGTAACTGGGACCTGAAGAATTTTTTCCAGTCTCAAATTTTATTTTTAGAACCTCAATTTATCTTGTACACAATTTTCATAAATTAGTTATTTGCTAACTAATCATTACAGCATAATTTTTACACTTCTTCTACATTGCGAATTCCAGCTCTTTACAGAGAAGAGAAGAAAAACCCAGCAGGTGCCATTTTTCTAGACACAATTTACAAGGAATAAGAGAACATGACCAAGGTATCTGAGCCTGAAACTCTGTAGGAACAAAGTGAACTACATAGACTAGACAGCAAACTCAGAAGTAAGTCCAAGTTCAGATTTATAAGCTTTCCATATTTTCCTTTCTTTTTTTCCAAGTTGAGTTTCTCCATGTGCCAAACTGTTGAGGGTTTACATTTTATTCCAAAACCCATCAATCTGTGCTAAATTAAAAAAATAAAGCATGGAAATGTGCCCATTGTCTTCTTTTGAGAACCTAAAGTTACAGACAAACGCACATGAGAACACTTAATGTGGACAGGCAATGGTTCATTTCGATCCACTCGCAGATTCAACCACTTAAAATTAAAACTACGTTGAAATAACATAGTGCTGCTAAAAAAGGTTTGCAAATAAAAGACTGGATCTTTAGTTACACTGCACGCATTTGGTACATTACTCTGGGGCACATGGGAACCCTAAAATCAGCTTCCCCATGAAAATGCAATTGTCCTTGGAAAAAATCTGAAGTGCAACATTGACAACTCTTGTTCCTGTACCATTCCTCTCAGGGTACCCCATGCAAAAAGCAAAGCCAGCATGAAACTCCCATGATGTCTACTCAAGTGTCTCACTGAGGACCTTCCCACATTAACACAGCCATTACTCTTCCAATTTGCACCGAGTGAGAAACGAAGAAGGGTTTGCAAAAAGCGCATTTGACTCCATGCTTTCACTGTACAGAGGGAGTGAATCTATCCATGCAGGGATCCATCTAAAAAGTCTCATAATACAGACACTGTCTAGATTGAAAGCACAAAACCCTAAAAACACAGTGTCACAAACTCCCAGTGAACTTGCACAGCCTCAAGGATTCCCGACAGCAAGAGAGGGGGTACGTGTAAAAAAAGTGATAATCAGCGACCTGAACCTGTTTGCCCAGGCTGAATGGCACGGGGCCGGGACCCTGGTGAACACCCACGACTCCAAAAGTTTTCTGGGAGTTTTTGGTCATTCTTAGCACCATCACATTGTAGTTCTGGAAATCTTTTATCGCACTACAGGCATTATTTTGCAATGCCTTTAAATCTATTGGAGGATACTCAAAGTCAAGCAGAACTGGGTAACTAGATAACTACACCTCTGTTAAAAGTAAGAACAGAAAAGGAAAGAAAAACAAGATCTGGAAGGACACTGCTGGCTGAAGCGCTGGGCTGGGACTCAGCAGCGGGTTTTACTTCTGATTCTTCACCACACCCGATTCCCTCCCCAAAAGTGAGAATAACGACGGGTCTTCCCTGTTCTCCAAAATTGGTCTATTTAGTTTTTTGGGTTTTTTTTGACAGGAACAGTTTCCCAGTGGGTGACGGCAGAGTACATCGCATGTGACAGGGCCTGAAATCCCACTCTCTGCTCTGGGGGCCACTGGCGTAGCAACGATGATTTCTAATGGTGAGGTGGCTCCACTGCCAAAATGTATCACAAAAAAAAAACAACCAAAAAAAGTCCTGAAAACACACGTACTCACCTGCGTTGTCACGCTTCCCTTTTGTACAGACAGGAGGCGACGGAGCCTTGGGCAGCGGGGCTGCAGGAGGCCCTGTGAGGAGAGGCGGTCAGGCCAGATGGTTCCGGCTGCTTCCAGACGGTTCTGCGATGGCCCCACCACAGCACGGCTCAGCCCTCACTGCAGCCCCCGGCACTGCTCCGAAAGCGTATTTAAGAGAGGGCAAAACCACCAGAGCACCGAGGAGTGAGGGGGGAAAACAAGCGAGAGCGCGCCCTGCCAAGAGCCGGGAGAGGGGGGAAGGCGGGAGGCGGCACGCCCGGGCCCGCGCAGAGACTCCCCTCAGGCGCCCGGTGGAGCGGGTGGATATTCCCTGAAGGAACCGCGGCCCCTGGAGAGCTCCAGATTTTTCCTCAAGGAATTGCCCCCCGTGGGAGGGACAGGTGCTGGAGCAGGGGAAAGGAGCGGCAGAGAGGAGCTGTCGCAGACAGACCACCACCCTCAGCGCCACTTGGGGGGACACGGAGGGGTAACGGAGTGAGGGTGAGCTGGGCGGGAAGGTGCTGTTTCAATTTTTGTTTTGTTTCGCACTATCCAAATCTATTTTAATTGGCAAGAAATGAAATTAGTTTTCCCCAGGTCAAGGCTGTTTTGCCCACAACAGTAACTGGTGATCTCCCTGTCTTTATCTCACTCACAAGCTTTGTCATCGCTTTTTTCTCCCCCTGCCCTGTTGAGGTGGGGGAGTGTGAGGGAGCGGACGGGTGGGGGATGCCCTTCGGGCAAGGCACGCTCACCACACCGCCGTCTGGTGAAGGGCACTCGGCCGCTCATAAACTGAGCCAAAAACTTCAGATGTATTACTCTGCTTATTTACTACAGAGTAACGCAAAATAGATGTGGAGCTGGAGCTGCCACGAGGGACACAAAGAGAGAGAGGGTTACAGAGTGCACTGGGAGGGGAGGCATAAGGTATGCAACCCTAACAGTGACCATTTGATGAAGAAAAAATGACAGAGACTAGCTCAGGCCTAAAGGTCACAAAGAAACTGGCCAGAAACTGCTAAGATTATGAATAAGCCAAAAAAAGATGCAAAAACATCAATGTAAAACTGCTGTAATAGTAAGCACTAAGAGCAACTCTTCTTTCAGGGCATGGACAGCTTTTCAGGTGACTTGAAATCTAATGAACTATTTTTGCACCAGGGAAATATTCAGCCCTGTTTTGTGACAGCAAAAGCGCAAACTG